TATGCTCTGGGGAACTCACTAAGCACTAGCTTACAGTTTGTTGGTTGTTTCAGGTACTTCAGGATCTAAGGGCAAGAGTATGATGTGATGACGTGACATGTAGTCTCCAACGATTTTATTTGGGGACACTCTGATATTATGAATAACATGTTGATGTTATGAATTTTGAAAACAATTGAGGTTAGCATCTCATGTTTATTTTAAATGATTTTGTTATTTAAAAATGCAAAAAAAAAAATATTTGGAAATTTGGGTTGTTACAGTGTCTAAATGTGTCTATTTGTGTATATGTGAAAGTAGTGATTGTAATGCTAAAGCATGAAATAAGTAACAGATCGAAGGTGCACATAGCTCTAGACACATAGATATTAGGTATAAGTTGATAAAAGTGTAGATAATCATGTATAGTAGAGGTGAGAAAAAAATCGAAGTTCGGTTCCTAAATCTCAAAAACAAATAAAATATGTAGGTAATCCGTCGGAAAATAGTGACGGATGGCCGTTTCCGTCGGTAATTACTGACGATGCACGTATTACCGATGGAAACGGCCATCCGTCGCTATTTTCCGACGGATTACCTACAGATTTTCTTTATTTTTGAGATTTCGGGAACCGAACTTCGTTTTTTTCGCTTCGGGGTTTTTGCACCTCTGTTATACATGATTATCTACACTTTTACAAAATTATACCTAATATCTACGTGTGTAAAGCCATGTGCACCTTTCGATCCGTTACTCATTTCGCGCTTACCATTATACATTCACACACACATACATACATACATACATACATACATACATACATACATACATACAGATACAGTTGTGTGCACCTCTGAGATGCATTACTCATTTCACTGTTTAACATTATAATGCTTATTAATACATTCACATACTTACATAAACATCCATACCTATACACACACACACACACACACATATATATATATATATATATATATATATATATATATACACACACACACATTCAAATACACATACATAAATAGGTTGGTTGGTGGTGTTGAAGGATTGCAATGGTGATTTGGGATAGGTGGTTGGTAGTGTTTGAAGGAATGATTATCATGTGTGGGAGTTGATGACTAAACACTACAACTTTGACAAAATGATTTCAATAGTTTAGTATAGATTTGGGAAGATATAAATAATCATGTATAGTAGCGGTGCGAAAAAAATGAAGCAAAAGAAAAAAAACGATGTTTGGTGCCCGAAATCTCGAAAAGAATGGGCACCAAACGTTGTTTTTTCACTTGGGTTTTTTCACACATTTATTATACATGATTATCTAGTTTTCCCAACTTATACTTAATATATAAATGTGTATACATACACATACATACACATTACTCACATATATAATACCCAAATTACTATATATGTACCAAATTATAGCTAATTGATACGTGTCTAAGATGGTATTCCAGACCACCCCCATGGTCTGATCCTTACAAGTCTTGAAGCAGAAAGCTAGAACACACGTTGCATGAAGAAGACCAAGTGAATTTTCCATTTGCCAATAAAAGTAGTTTTCTCAAGTTAGGGCTAACGCACGTTTCAATACAACATGCATGTTTCATTATTTCTAGTTAGCAAGTTATTTCCTTTCCTATAAATGGTAATCATCGTTGGCATGAATATTAAGCATCGTTCACTATTTTGCATTACACCCGTGATGCATGTTTTCCTTATTATTAGCTAGTAGTAGGATTTTCTTTAGTTATTTATATGAATGTATTTCCATTACGAATGGAATGGAAAAAGTTATGTTTTTAGTTTGATTTCTAACCTTGTTCTTGGGGACTAATCATCCATAATCAGCTCTATCATCTATCTTCTTATATTATTCTTAGGAGATTGACCATTTTTAATTGGCTTCTATAAATGATGCTTTCATTCTCGTTCATCATGCCTCCCCGCGAAGATACGACGACACACTGCCAACTATCAACAAGCAACTCTCCACACTCATTTTTTATTTCCATTGCTAATCTTCACTGTTTTGATGTTAATTATCACACAAATGACCACCATCAACACCCTCATGACCGGCATTAAAAATAAAATAACAAATTTTCAAGTTAGGGCTCACCCACGTTTCAATTCAGCATGCATGTTTCCTTATTCCTAGTTAGCAAGTTATTTCCTTTCCTATAAATGGTAATCATCCTTGGCATGAATATTAAGCAGAAAAATTAATGAAATTCTTATGTTATTTTAGTCTATCTTCTTCATCTTATTTTAGTAATCACCCTTCATCTTATGTTATTCAAAATTTTCCATATTTGCAAAGATACGTCTCATCTATAATAGCATGTGTTTCATAAAATTCTCCATTATCTTTCACCAATACCTTTAATTGCTCATCACATAATCTAAAATAGAAACATATCTTTTGTATATTTGAATGACTTAGGTAGGGTAAAGGGTATATTTTTTACCCATACGTACTACGGGAATAAAGTTGCCATCTTACTTGTTGTACGATGATAATTAATTTTATTTAATGGAAAAATATGTTTTAAAAAAAACTATAATAATTAATCCTTTTGAATCATGTAATTTACTAATAAACAAAAATTAAAACAAATATAAAAAGTATACCAACAAAATTTTACATAGCTTCTCCGGTAGTGAGTTTTTAGAAGTATAGCAATCTTCTTAACAAAAAACCATTCAAATGAATACATATTGAAACATTCATATTGGAACTTACGAAAAGAAAAGAACACTGAAAGTACACTATATCGATCAGCCCAAAGAAGCCATTTCAAAGCAGATCCTTCATTAATAGATTTGAAACTTGTTGCATTGTTGGTCTTTCACATGGATTCAAGTTCAAACACACTCTCGAGAGACTCAGAACCAACTTAACTTGTTTCTCAAGTTGGGACGAGGGAGGAGGTATCCGATTATCTCCCACATTTGTTGGCACCAAAGAATCAGTAGACAATGTTGGTAAAGATGTTATCAGTTCTCCAAGATGCTTTCCCATGACTACTTCTAGTGCAACAACTCCAAAGCTATACACATTGCATTTCTCATTTGCCCCCATCATAAAAGCAAACTCTATATCCAAAGAAACATGAGATTATTAAAAAAAAAAAAAAAAAAATCTATATCAACCCACAAGATTCTTAGCGAGTAGTGTTTGCAGCCAAGTGAGTTCAGCCACGGTATCAACTAAAGCTTTGTATTCGGACTCCGTTGAGGACCGCGAGACAGTCTTTTGTTTTTTAGCAGACCATGAGATAACCAAGTGTTTAATTTTGGAACCGAGAAAGATGACATATCCCCCAGTGGTGGTAGGCTAGGTATAAGGAAGGTGGGTCCTAGGACCCATCTAATTTTTTCAATTTATCTAAATACTCTATAGAAATTTTTTAATGACCTACCTTAATTATAAAATTCTTTGAATTTGTATAGAAAAAATATATAGAAAAATTAGTAAACCATATGGTTTTCTATTCTAGACTCGCCACTATATCCCCCCGGTAGATCGAGAGTCATCTGTGTACGCATGGAGAAAACTATAAACTTTGATATCTCTACATCGTAAGAAAGAATTGTGCACATGAAGGCTTGAGATGAAAGCAAGGGTAGCACCAAAAAAAACGGTTGAATTTTGCCAAAGCAACACCAGGGGCAAAATGGTCAAAAATTGAATCGAAAAGGAGAAAGCCATCTCACAGCATGTATGTAGCAGCACCAACCAAAAACGTTGAATTTTTTACCAAAGCAATGCCATGGGCAAAATAGTCAAAAGTTGAATCAAAAGGGAGGAAGCCATCTCACAGCATGTATGTACAACACCATAAAGCTACTGCCTCTGTTATTTACCCAATTCATCAACATCACGAATTCAACACCAGACCATGGAAAACAAACAGTTGCCGATTCAATCTGCAAAGGCTGTGAAAACGCAAACGCCAATATGATTTTAAGCACCAGACAACCCCCCTCCCATGAGAATGCAGTCAGGAAGAAACAGGAAGAATCTAGGGTTTCGACACCATTGACAAAACTAATTCCAGATTCCCAAGTGCAGAAACCACAACCAAATCATGTTGAATACGCAAATTCATATTTGTTTTATTTGTTTGCAGTAACAATGCTCCAGAGAAAAGTTTTCAAGTAATTGTTTGTGTAACATAAGAAATAAACACTGATTCCCTACCAACCTTTATGGACATTAGGCCAATGGCAATCATAGTAGGTGGTGACATGATATCTTCAGATACAAGATGGATGTCACATTTTTGAGGTATTTACGTTGCCAAAGCTTGACATATTTTGTGATACATAAAATCATTTAACATTACATCCATCTCATGCCATATCATGTTGAAATCAAATGAAGAGGAGATGAGCCATAAACCAGTAAGAAGTTGAATCCACATGAACTCCTATCCTAGTTATATTTCAAAGAGGTGAAATGCATACCAATAACTAGAATTAGTCATGTATGTTTTATTTGAACTATTTATTTAGTTCTCTTGTGTAAATGTTTTAGGTTGTCAAATTTGGAATTGAATAGCTAAAAAGCATGCAAGGAATATAGTGTGAGTAAAAATGTTCCAGAATGTTTAAAATGCATTGATATATGATTCTTTTTTTGTTAATGTTTAAAATTTTCCATCTTTGTAAAGACACATCTCATCTATAAAGCCATGTGTTTGACGAAACTATCCAATGACATATCCCAACATTATTTTTGATTGGTCAGTCATATAATCTAGAATAGAAATATATATTGTATATTTGAAGGACTTAGGTGGGGTACAGGTTATATAACGTGATGTACGACCCAAACTATGGCCCAATATCATATTAACCATGTGTGTACCCACATGTTGTGTGAGGATAAAACCGTAAGACAGATATTTTTTTTAAAAGTATGACATCGTTATAATAATGATTCATTTTAAAACATGTAGCTTACTAAATAAATAAAAATTGAAACCAATATAAAAAGCATGCCAACAAAATTTTACATAATTTCTTGTTTGGAGGATGTGTGTATGGCATTGTACTTAGTTTCTAGTGGTGTGTTTTTAAAAGTATAGCAATCTTCATTGACTTATTTCTTTACTACCACAAACATATGTGAAGTTTCTTAACAAAAAGCCATTCAAATGAACACATATTGGCAGGGTGCATATAGGGAACTTAAAAAAAAGTAGAGAACACTGAAAGTACACTATACTGATCAGGCAAGAGATGTCAATTCAAAGCAGATCCTTCATTAACAGATTTGAAACTTGTTGCATTGTTGGTCTTTCAAGTGGATTGGAGTTCAAATATGCTCTTGCGAGACTCAGAACCAACCTAACTTGTTTCTCAACTTGGGATGAGGGAGGAGGTATCCGACTATCTTCCACATTTTCTGGCACCAGATAATCAGAAGACAATGTTGGTAAAGATGTTACGAGATCTTCTGGATGCTTTCCCATTATAACTTCTAGTGCAACAACTCCAAAGCTATACACATCACATTTCTCATTTGCCACAATCGTATAAGCAAGCTCTACATCCAAAGAAACATGAGAAAAAAAAACAAATATCAACCCCACACGATTCTAACATATATACATATATCTACGTTTACATATTTATATATACCATGAAACTTAAGAAGATGTAGAACTACAATCACAAGATTGTGTTACCTGGTGCAATATAACCATAGGTGCCTGCAATTGCGGTCCAGTTGGATGAATCGAGCTTTAAAAGCTTGGATGTGCCAAAATCAGAAATATGTGCTTCATAATCAGAATCAAGAAGGATGTTGGCTATGGATATATCTCTATGAATTATAGGAGGTGAGCAGTCGTGATGCATATAAGCCAAACCATTAGCTACACCCTTTACAATATTTACCCTTTTCAACCAATCCAATTCTTTTGCTAAGACATCGCTTCTTAAGATTGATCCAAGGCTTCCCTTTTCAAGGTATTCATAAATCAAAAATGAGTGGTGAACATGAGAGCAATATCCATAGAGTTTCACTATGTTTCGATGCCTTATGTTCGTTAATGCTCGTACCTCATTAAGGAATCCATTATGATCAACATTTTCAGATCCTGAGTGAAGTTTCTTGACAGCTACCACATTGTTAGGTTGTAGCTCGGCTTTGTACACAGTCCCATATCCTCCGGTCCCAATGCAATATGATTCATCGAAATCATTTGTTGCCTTCAAAATTTCAGCAAACACCACTTTTCCATCAAAACTTGTAATAGAGAAATAATCACCACTTTGTTCGTCCAATTGTTTTTTTGGAGACTTTTTCTTTTTTTGTTGATAAGCAATGAGGTAGTACGTGAATACACCAAGTAAAACAGTCCCAATAAGAGGGAGTGTAATTACAAGGACGAGCTTGTGATGAAAGAGATCATTGTTCTTCTTCATAATCTGACTAGGACAAAGTTTCACTCCCGTAACATTCCCACACAAATCCGAATTGCTTTCGATGGATGCATTTACAAAGTTAGCGCAACGGGGGATTGGACTGGAGAGCTTATTGAAAGAAAGATTGATATCAATCCCGCCAGGCAAACTTGTAAATGCATCAGGAATAGAACCAGATAGTTTATTATGAGAAAGATCCAATTTTTGCAAACTTTGCAAATGTTGAACTTCAGATGGTATCTCTTTCATTAGAAAATTGTGAGATAAATCAAGTTCCGTAAGATGAACTAATTTCCCAATCTCAGATGGAATTTTCTCACTGAGCTTGTTATTACTAAGATTCAAGTTGTGGATTTGTGCCCACTGATCAATAATTTTTGGAATCGGCCCATTCAATTTATTTTTTGATAGATCAAGTACTTCAAGGAGTTCACAAAATCCAAGCTCCAGAGGTATAACACCTGAAAGTTGGTTGCCAGCCAAATACAGTTCCAACATACTTTTCATCTTCCCAATCTCCTTTGGGATCTCACCAACCAAATGATTTGAAGACAGATTAAGTCTTTGTAGTTGAGTTAAATTTCCAAACTCTGGAGGAATAGAACCACTAATTTTATTGTTGTTCACCTTAAAATCAGTAAGAGACTTCAACTTCCCAAGGTCACTAGGAATGGGACCAGCAAGCTCATTGTTATGCATATAAAGGAAATTTAAAGATGTCAAATCACCAAATGATGAAGGAATAAGATCACTAAGTTGATTTCTGCTCACCGAAAGATGAGTGAGAGATTTCAACTTCCCAATTTCACTAGGAATGGGACCAGATAATTTATTACCACCGAGGGTCAGCCACTGTATGTTGCTGAGGTTTGCTAGTGATGATGGAATAGAACCACTAAGTTTGTTGTCGCTCACGTCAAGATCAGTGAGAGACTTCAAATTCCCAAGTTCAATAGGAATGGGACCAGAGAGTTGATTTTGGAGTGAATAAAGTTTCTTCAAAGATGTCAAATCACCCAATGATGAAGGAATAGAGCCATTAAGTTTATTCTCACTCACATCAAGAAGAGTGAGAGACTTCAAATTCCCAAGTTCAATAGGAATGAGACCAGAGAGTTGATTTTGGTACAAATAAAGGACATTCAAAGATGTCAAATTACCCAATGATGAAGGAATAGAACCACTAAGTTGATTTCTGCTTACCGAAAGATGAGTGAGAGAATTCAACTTCCCAAGTTCACTAGGAATGGGACCATATAATTTATTGTTATTGAGGGTCAGCCATTGTACATTGCTCAGATTAGCTAGTGATGAAGGAATATAACCCCTAAGTTGATTTTTATACACCGCAAGATCAGTGGGAGACTTCAAATTTCCAAGTTCAGTAGGAATGGGACCAGAGAGTTGATTTTGAAACAAATGAAGTTTATTCAAAGATGTCAAATCACCCAATGATGAAGGAATAGAGCCATTAAGTTGATTCTCACTCATATCAAGATGACTGAGAGACTTTAAATTCCCAAGTTCAATAGGAATGAGACCAGAGAGTTGATTTTTGTACAAATAAAGGACATTCAAAGATGTCAAATTACCCAATGATGCAGGAATAGAACCAATAAGTTGATTGTTGAACAAAGAAAGGCCAGTGAGAGACTTTAAATTCCCAAGTTCAAAAGGAATGGGACCAGAGAGGTGATTTTGGTACAAATAAAGAGCATTCAAAGATGTCAAATTACCCAATGATGAAGGAATAGAACCAATTAGTTGATTGTTGAACAAAGAAAGACCAGTGAGAGACTTCAAGTATGTTATGGTTTGTTTGACATTTCATGATCAATTCTTTCTCTTAGGGTCCTTATCTTCACATATTAGTGACAGAATTCGCGACAGATTTTTTGTTGGAATAAAAAGTGCACTACAACTTAGATTACATTTATGTTTGTTTTCCAAGTAATTCTAATAAAACTTTCTTTCTAAAAGAAAACATACCTATGAAATTGATCAATGCTCCCAAAAACGTTTGAATTTTACCAAAGCAGTGCCAAGGGCAAAATAGTCAAAAGTTGAATCGAAAGGGAGGAAGCCATCTCACAGCATGTATGTACAACACCATAAACTACTGCCTCTGCTACTTATCCATTCATCAACACCACAAATCCCCCTCCCCCCCCCCCCCCCCCCCCCCCCCCCCTAATGCAGGCAGGAAGAAACAGGATCAATGCAACAGTTCTCCATTGCAAGTTTGAATCTACTGCCTCTGTTATTTACCCAGTTAAAAGATAGCAATTGAATCTCATCAAACACTTTATCTTTAATGATTATAACAATGATTAAAAACTCTGGAATTGCATGTTTTCTAAACAGATCAAACACTGTATAACACAAGGCACCCAACATTTCTATACCTTCAGGCCCCTGTTTGGAGAAGTTCACAACATCCTCGCCTTCTCAGACATTGAAGACGAGGGTTTCAAGACTAGCTTACACCATTGACAAAACCAATTCGAGATTCCAAAGAGACCATATATAGCACAAGGCACCCTACAATTCTACTCTCCGACCCCTGCTTATACCATGGACGAAGTCAATTTATCCATCCAAATCATTTGAATCCAAGTGCAGAAACCACAAGCAAATCATTTGAATCCATCCAAATTGCACAAAATTTATCAACTTAAAGTCAGATTGGTGATTACACAGTAGACGCAGAGTGGTTTGAAGTGGTGGTCAGGATCGTTGAAGTGGATATCAATTAATTAAAAGGTCGGTATTGGTGTCTTTCCTCATTTTTATGTTCTATCTTCTTCCAACACTCCATTTAGGATCGCTTGTACATGCTCCTTGCAAAAATGTTAGTCTAATGAATATTAACTGTTTGATGAAATGCCTCAATGATTTTTTTTTTAATTTTTTTTTTCTGAATTTAATGCCACATCAGCTGTATGGTATTGGTTTGTTCATAGTGTAGTGTATTGATATCATAGAGT